TTATTATCTATTGTTTGGTGTGGTGTATTAAAATTATAATGCATTGCATAATTTTTAAAAAAATAGTTGTTTACAAAAACGCCCTTCATATTAATCTCTAGCTTTAAGGGACTTTAAGGACAATTTTATCTTTAACCATACTAATGCATGCATTAATAGCCTTGGTATTACTAATGTCATGGTTTTCTAAGCATTACTTATACATAGGATAATACCAAGTATGATGTATAACTAATACAAGCATTAACTAATACAAGTATTAGTTATACACATGTTGAAAAAATATACCAAACAAGATATTAATAATGCATAGTGTATGGGTCCAAATTTGGTGACCACGGTAACGGATACACAATACAAAGGACGGGGTCGACCATGATATAAAGGTTGTTCTCACAAAGGCTGATGCCAAAAGCGGGCATCCGAGATCAGAAAGTAACGGTAGCATAGGTTCAGAAGTGGGACATAAAGAATATTCCTTTGGATATTCTTTATGCTGTACTTTTTAGGGTCTTTGGGGAATAACCCCTATAAATAGGAAGAGATAGAGAACAAAAGGGGAGCTTCATTTTTCTGGACAGAAGACATATTGTAAGAGTTGATAAAAGAGAATATCCAAAAGTTGTCTTATTTGTTGGTAATATTAAAAAAGCACACGTTGTTCCATCTTGATCCATAAATCTAGAGATTCCATATCCATCCCAACTTCATACTTTTCCACGTGGCAGACAGAAAAAAGGGGGCATCCAATCATATGATAGTTGGGTGACATATCCCTTTTCATCACATTTATTGCCATTGCTTACATTTATTGCATATTTATACCATCTTATTTATTATCGATCGTAGCGTATTGAATCCATTATTTGATGCATCTGAACACTGCTCATTTCATAAATCTTCTATTTTATCCGGTCTAGAAGTTATTAAATTCAACTAAGATTCACCTCTTTAATTCATCATTAACTGGTTTAGCCATTATTTGCTCAAACGATTTGGCGCCGTCTATGGGGACTTTTTAGTTGAAATTTTAGTTCCTTCTAGATCACAAATAGACAGCCATCTCTTCTTCGCTTGTACAAACTAACGATGGCAGGAAAAGGAGAGGCAAGGCAGAAAGCCATAGCAGATGTCACTAACAACATTTTGAAGACCATCAACGAGGATGACAGGGAAGACGACGAGAATGTGACGCCAAATGCTACGCTCAGGCGGAATGACTCACCTCCCCCTTATGAAAGCGTAACCGCTTCACGCGAGAGAGGAGCCTCCACGTCTACAGCTGAGGAAGCACCACCAGCAGTGAAAAAATTACTGGAAGAGTGGCTGACAAGGACTCTAAACAACATACTCGACAAACCCATTCAAAGGGAGAGCAGAAACACCGTGCAAGCAGATATCACAACGATCACTGGCGAGCAGCCCGTCCCTAAAACAGGTAACACTTACACCATTGTTGATGCAAGTAGTGATGCACTCGCAGCCATTCTGAAGAAAATGGAAAACGAAAAAAAGGCACTCCGCGACCAGATGAGGGAGCATCAAGAAAGGGTCGATAAGATACCGGGCGCCCCAAAGTTGCTACCAAAACGAGACATTGGTCGGTTCGTTGAACAACCGTACAGCGAGGAAGCGGCCCCACATGCCATTCCAAAAACCTTCAAAATGTCACTGTACCTGAAGATATACGACGGTACTACAGACCCCGAAGATCATATCATCCACTACGTCACAGCGGTGAAGGGCAACGACCTTTCGAAGGAGCAAGTACCATCAGTGTTACTGAAAAAGTTTGGTGAAACCTTAACGGAGGGAGCCTTAACCTGGTATTCACAACTACTGGCACGGTCGATAACAACGTTCGAGGAAATGGACGACAAGTTCGTCACCGCCCATGTAGGGGCTAAAAAGGCGGAGGCCAGGGTGAATGATATATTCGACGTTAGACAATCGCCTGGGAGGGGCTGAGGGACTTCCTCGCGCAGTTTAACATGGTAAGAATGAGCCTACCAAATGTATCAGAGCAGCTTTCCAAAACGGGTTGAACAGGAACGGGTCGAGAGCAACTAGAAAGGTATTAAGCAGGCTCATGAAATACCCTCCCACCACTTGGGAAGAAATCCACAATGCCTATTGCGCCTAGGTGAGAGCCGACGAGGACGAACTTAACGGTCCGACCCAACGGTTGACATCAGTTCAAACGGAGCCGAGAAAAGATCACCGTAACGACGGTCGAAGAGATCAGTCAAACCCCCGTCTCAACCGAGAAAGACATCACCCTACATCAGAACAGCCGTCCCACCGTCTCCTTGATATGCGGAAGGGCCGTCCAGGCCGCATACAGGGACTCAGCGAAACGAAAGAGGTATGCCTCCACTCTTATCTGCTCACAATTTTTTTGTGTTTCCCCTTCAGAAATAGTATACGCACTAGAGAAGCTTGGCACAAAGGTGAAATGGACACAAAAGATGAAGTCCAACCCAAGTACCCGAAAGTCGAAAGTCCTCTGCGAATTTCACTAGGAGCGGGGTCACAAAACTGAGGACTGCATAGCTCTGCAGCAAGAGGTAGTAAACATGCTAAACCAAGGGCACCTGAGGGAACTGATGAGCGATCGTGGACGAGCCAACTTCGGTCACGGGCGTGAACAACACCAGGGACCTCCAAAGCCACCCTCCCCCACCCACACCATCCAGGTGATCATCAGCAGAGGCGATGAAGCAGCGATCAACCATGTGAAGTTCACCACTACACACAAACTGAAGCAATCGACCACTCACGAACGGTACGACGACCTCGGAGACAGTATCATCTTCGATAAGTCAGATACCGACGACTTGACTTTCCCTCATTTCGATGCTCTTGTTATTACCTTGCGTATTTCAGATACTGATGTGAAAAGAATAATTGTAGACGACGGAAGCGGCGCATGTATTATCCACCCTCGAGTCCTCACACAAATGAGACTCGAAGATAAGATAGTACCGCGTTGCATAACACTAACAGGTTTTAACAATACAGTTGAGCGGACCTCTGGGGAGATAACGCTACCTGTCCTGGCCGGGGACGTCACCCTAGAAACAATGTTCCATGTCATGAACCAAGACACAGCTTACAACGCCATCAAAGGGCGGCCATGGATACACGTCATGAGAGCCATACCGTCAAGCCTATATCAAGTAATCAAGTTCCCTACTCCATGGGGGATATTCAGCATCCGAGGCGAACAACGCACCGCCCAAGAATGCTATCGTATCGCCCAGGATTGCACATATACCCAACAACTAAAGGGAACAGACCTAAAGCATAGCAATTACCAAAGTCGGGGACCAGACTCGATGCACAAACAGACGTCATCAGGGACCCCGACATCGTGGAAGCTGCTGAGTCAACGGTAGAAGACCTCGATCCCGTCCAACTGAACAACAGCGACAGCAACAAAAAGGCTTACATCGGACACAAACTCTCAGAACCAGGTAAATTTCACAAGTTTTTAATTGACAACGCCGATTTGTTCGCCTTCTCCCATGCAGATATGCCGGGTATCCCGAAAGACGTTGCCACTCACAAGTTGAACGTCGACCCACTCTATCCACCGGTGTGGCAAATAAGAAGGAAATTCAACGCCGCAATCAACGAGGCCGTCAGTGATGAGGTGGATAAGCTGCTCGCCAACGGTTCCATCCGGAAATCAAAATATCCCTAATGGGTCGCCAATGTAGTCATGGTAAAAAAGAAAAACAGGGAATGGTGGAAACTTCTGAAAAAACAAAACCCCCATCTATTTATAGGGTTGGATGGCGCGAGAATCGAAGTGAAGGATTGTCAATGACACTAAAACCAAAGCGACAGGCACGCAGACAGTGTCTCGGGAAGATGCGTAATGATGACGCGCGTAGCTGTGACGTCATCCCATGGTAACCACATCAATCATGACCCCGCCGGTTGCGTCGTTCTCTCGATCTTGGTCGACCCGGCTTGATTCAATAGCCAAATTCTCCCGAGATGAAAGCAAATGATGCCACTTATCGAGGACGTGTAGGGCCATGACCTCAACAAGCGGAGGGACTAACTGTATGGGCCAAATTTGGTGACCACGATAACGGATACGCAATACAAAGGACGGGATCGACCATGATATAACGATTGAAGGTTGTTCTCACAAAGGCTGATGCCAAAAGCGGGCAGCCGAGATCAGAAAGTAACGGTAGCATAGGTTCAGAAGTGGGACATAAAGAATATTCCTTTGGATATTCTTTATGCTGTACTTTTAGGGTACTTTGGGGAATAACCCCTATAAATAGGAAGAGATAGAGAACAAAAGGGGAGCTTCATTTTTCTGGACAGAAGACATATTGTAAGAGTTGATAAAAGAGAATATCCAAAAGTTGTCTTATTTGTTGGTAATATTAAAAAAGCACACGTTGTTCCATCTTGATCCATAAATCTAGAGATTCCATATCCATCCCAACTTCATACTTTTCCACGTGGCAGACAGAAAAAAGGGGCATCCCAATCATATGATAGTTGGGTGACATATCCCTTTTCATCACATTTATTGCCATTGCTTACATTTATTGCATATTTATACCATCTTATTTATTATCAATCGTAGCGTATTGAATCCATTATTTGATGCATCTGAACACTGCTCATTTCATAAATCTTCTATTTTATCCGGTCTAGAAGTTATTAAATTCAACTAAGATTCATCTCTTTAATTCATCATTAATTGGTTTAGCCATTATTTGCTCAAACACACATAGAGCTATTGCTTGCATTATTTTTTCTAATACCTCCTGCCAAACGACCCCTTAGTGTTTTACCATTAAAAAACAAAATGTAAAGAACAAAAAGGTTGACTCCCTTTTCTATTATTCCACTAAAAAAGGAAACCCAATTAATAACCCAGGAAGTTCATGCCAAAGCACCATCTGATCTCCATTTTAGTTAGTTACTAACTTGCTGTCCTACATTTAGTATGAACATATTATAGTCTGAATTAATGAAGAATTTTAGCAAAAATAACCACCTCCTCCAAACCACCAGAAAACATTATCATGCCATTTTTACTATCTACTGTAGAAACCTATTTTCTCAAGGAAGAGTTCATTTTTCTAGTTCTCATTTCCTTAATATAGCCATAAAAATCTCCTAGATTTTTGTCTCCCTTGAGTACTTAAATCATCGTTTTATCTTCGTCTTTGTTTATATTATTTTCTTTCACACATCTCAATCATCTTGACCTCTCAAGTGGTCTTGATTAGTTCATTTCTCTTGGGGCAGAGCCAGTTCTTCGATTACGGTTCTGTCGAACCCAATAGCTTTGGTTCAAACCTTATATTTGTTATAAGAAATTTATTAAATATGTATAAATTATTAATTTAGAACTCAATAACTTAAAAAGAACTAGAATCTCGAACCCATAAACCTTTAAACTCTGGCTCTGCCTCTATTTCTCTATCAACTCTATGCCCCATCTCACTTACCAACATGAGATAATTCCATTTTCCCCAATATTCAAAACCAAGTTGGGTGTATACTTAGAGATATCTTCTCATTTTTTTTGTTACTTCAATTTTTCAGAAGAGGAGATATGGTAGAGGTGCCAATGAGAAATGGCCATGAGATTTTTCAATTTGCCAATCATGTGGTTAAAGGTAGGTGGTTTTCTCTATTTGCATCTTTTCTTATCATGGCTGGAGCAGGAGCTACTTATTTATTTGGAACTTATTCAAAAGAAATAAAAGCTTCACTTGGATATGATCAAACTACACTTAATTTATTAGGATTTTTCAAAGATGTAGGAGCTAATGTTGGAGTATTTTCTGGTTTAATTGCTGAAGTAACTCCAACATGGTTTGTTTTATTAGTTGGTGCAGCGATGAATTTCACAGGCTATTTCATGATATGGCTTTCTGTTGTTGGAAATATACCAAAACCAAAAGTTTGGCATATGTGTATATACATATGTCTTGGAGCCAATTCGCAAAATTTTGCGAATACTGGAGCTCTTGTTACATCAGTTAGGAATTTCCCCGAGAGCAGAGGAAATATGATTGGTTTATTGAAAGGATTTACAGGATTAAGTGGTGCTATTATGACTCAATTATACTTAGCTGTATATGGAAATGATTCGAAATCGCTTATTTTACTCATTGCTTGGCTTCCAGCTGCTGTATCAGTAATATTTGTGTATACTATTCGTGAAATGAGAGTCGTTAAGCAGCCGAATCAGCTGAGAGTTTTCTACTATTGTTTGACTATAGCAATTGTATTAGCATTGTTTCTTATGGTCATGACATTGGTTGAGAAAGCAGTTGCATTTTCACATGCTGCTTATGTTGTAACTGCTACTGTGGCTTGTGCTTTGTTATTTCTTCCTCTTTTGGTTTTCGTTAGGGAAGAGTTAGATGTCTTTCGTCGAAAGAACTTGCCCATTGATCCGACTGAGGATCCACCAATAGTACTAGAGAAAGAAGATAATTCTATAACCTTAGAAATCAAGAAAGATGATACTAATTCTAAGTGCTTTTGGTTCACTGATATTTTCTTCAATAAACCAGAAAGAGGTGATGATTATAGCATATTACAAGCACTTTTAAGTACTGATATGTTGATTCTGTTTCTCGCTACGTTCTGTGGACTTGGAACGAGCCTGACTGCTGTCGATAACTTGGGTCAAATTGGTGAATCTTTAGGATATCCAACAACAACCATTAAATCCTTTGTGTCACTTCTTAGTATATGGAATTTTTTTGGAAGAATTTTCTCAGGATTTGTTTCTGAGACTCTTCTTGTTAAGTACAAATTCCCTAGACCACTTATGATGACATTAGTCCTTCTGTTATCCTGCATTGGCATGCTCCTCATCGCGTTCCCCTTCCCCGGATCAGTCTACGTTGCATCTGTGATCATCGGCTTCTCATTTGGTGCACAGTTGCCTTTACTCTTCTCAATTATTTCTGAGCTTTTTGGATTGAAGTATTACTCCACATTGTTCAATTGTGGACAATTGGCTAGTCCTCTTGGCTCATATATACTTAATGTGAAAGTCACTGGACCACTTTATGATAGACAGGCGTTAAAGGAGCTCGCGAAAAAGGGATTGACTAGATCATCTGTTAAAGAGTTGACTTGTATTGGTAACCAATGTTATCGACAAGCTTTTATAATCTTGGCTAGTGTCGCGTTTTTTGGCGCTCTAGCCTCGTTGATTTTGGTTGCAAGAACTAGGAATTTTTACAAAGGTGATATATACAAGAAGTTCAGAGGGCAAGCAGAGGCAACTGAGGCAGAAATGGCTTCAACAAACACCAATAGGATACACTAAGAACATTACAGAATTTAAGTTGTATTTATTTTGAAGAAACAAACTTTAGAATTGTGGCCTTTTTTTTTTCTAGATCATTTATGTATCCATTATGTATCAATTAATCTTATGAAAGGAAAATGGTCTTTTGTCTAGCTATCTATTTGTGTATGGAGTCATAGCAATATGCTATTGCCAAGTTAATTAAGCAGAAAATGAACATTAAAAAATTGTGTGATTTCCTCCTTGGTATTAAAAATTAAGGAGTTGGCTGGAAATTCAGGACCGGCCTGTTTTGTTTGTTTTTTCTGGTGGCACACAAGACGAAATGATCAGGCAAAAGCCAGTATTTGTAGATCTTATCCTTGGCATGTCTTTTGACACTAACTTTCTAGTTTCTAGTTATGTTAATTTAAATCAAGAAGATTGAAAACCGTTCTCCAAATTGAGATCGAAAATTTGAAGGTTTAATCCCGCTAGTCCAACTCGTTCACTCTTTTTACAACATAGATATTTAGGTGTTTGGGCATAAAAAAAATGTGAGATTTGAAAAAGTAATTTTTTAAAGTTAAATTAAAAAATATATTTAAAAATTAAATTGTATTTCGACATATATTTCACTTGAAAAAATATTACAATTTGTGAGAGAAAATATTATTTACTAGAAAAAGAGATAAAATTACTTTTTCAAATTTGAAACTCATCTTCAAAAATTTAGTTAAATGTATAACCAAATAAAGTTTTGAAGAAGAATTTCGGGGGACAAATGGGTCATTAGACCATTAAGGATCGGTTGCATACAATAAACTACAGATAATAGGCATGGTCTATAAATACTTAGTTAAAAAAAAAACTACTTAAATTAGGTGTTGAAAAAATCCTATGGCAAGTTACAATGACCCTACAAAATTCTGTATTTTATTTACTGATCTTTTATGTCATTCTTTGCCGATCTCATATGAAAAGAACCAAAAACATTTGTAATGAACTATAAAAAGCTCTAATAGCTTCTAAAATTTAAGAATGAGAGAACAATCAATATTTTCCTTGATCAACAGCAAAAGAAGAGAAAAATTCAGCTTGTATTTGTATAAAATCGTTTTTATTAAATTTGTGGAAATTTTAGTGCAGTTTAATCAAAATGTTTCGTGTATGTATATGAATACTCATTTGAATTTAAAGATGTATTACGTAGTTGAATCTTCCGATTTATTATTCGAATGGAAAGGTATATGTAATTGGGTTCCTCCTGGTGATGTCATTCTTTCGTGGGAATATTTTATTTTATCTTAGTAATAAAATTTTAATCTTCATGCATTATGACTGAACATATACCGTATATTTTATTAGATTTTTGCAAAATCTAAAAAATATATTATCAAATATATTCGTTCTTTTAGAAACAAAGCAGAGTGGGAATTAATGACTTCTAATTCTTTTCACTTTGAGAAATGATGAGTTAGGTAATTTGCGTTGAAATATTGCAGTTCTAATGAATGAATAGCCTATTCTTTGATGTTTTTGCATTGATTGATTGGGATTGGTTATATTATATATTCTTGAAATAAAGATAGTACCCTAGAAAATAAGAACATTAATCACACAGAAAACAAATTTTTATTCTCAATACTTAGCTAGCGTTTGGCCATATGATCCCAAATTTATTTTGAAAAATCTGATTTGGGTGAAGTTTGGTTTGAAGATAAAAATGTGTTTGGACATACGTTTTCAAAACATATTTCCCAACTTTATTTTGGAAAAATATGTATATAATTCCCAAATTTTGGGATTTTGGCCCAAAATTAGCAACCGGGGTGATTTTGAGAATTGGGGTTTGGGATTTGGGATTTTGCCAAAATGTGAGCAAAATTTATGGCCAAACATGAGTTTTGAAAATAAATCCCAAATTTATTTTGGGAAAACTCATGGCCAAACGGGACCTTAAAAATTGATACTTTCTCAATTTTTATTTCGTATTTCAAAAGTTATATTTTCACTCGTTTGAATAGTGTCTTAATTAATTATCCAGTTCTATTTTCATATATTTCTATTATATAGAAGAGCGAAGCGTGGTCGACCAAGGGTGGAATTGTCTTTGTACTCGGTCATTTTATTTTCCATCCGTTTAAGGGCTGCCACATAATTCTAGAACCTCACTTTCATCTCCTTTCCAACTCTTTCACCTTCCATTCATCTTCTCAGCTTGGGTATCGCAATTTTAGGTAGACCTTTACCTCAATTTTTGCTTTAATCTTCTTCCAGTTCTTTCAATTCATCCTCCTCTCTCTTTCAATCTTATCCTATATACTTTTTTCCAATGGCTTTCTTCCTATTTCATCAGCTTCTGGCTTGGAATATCTACCTTCATCCGTCTTCTACTTTGAGTGTTGCAAGATTCAGGTTAGTCTGTCAGGCTCAGCTATTTTTTGTTTCAATTTTTTTTCCTATTTTGTTTTTCATGTTTTGGTTGCTATTCTTCTTTGTTGTTGAGGTCGACCAAGGGTAGAATTGTCTTTGTACTCGGTCATTTTATTTTCCATCCGTTTAAGGGCTGCCATATAATTCTAGAACCTCACTTTTATCTCCTTTCCAACTCTTTCACCTTCCATTCATCTTCTCAGCTTGGGTATCGCAATTTTAGGTAGACCTTTACCTCAATTTTTGCTTTAATCTTCTTCCAATTCTTTCAATTCATCCTCCTCTCTCTTTCAATCTTATCCTATATACTTTTCTCCAATGGCTTTCTTCCTATTTCATCAGCTTCTGGCTTGGAATATCTACCTTCATCCGTCTTCTACTTTGAGTGTTGCAAGATTCAGGTTAGTCTGTCAGGCTCAGCTATTTTTTGTTTCAATTTTTTTTCCTATTTTGTTTTTCATGTTTTGGTTGCTATTCTTCTTTGTTGTTGATGTTATTTATTTTGGGTTTTCTCTTCTACCCTTTGTTTCTACTTTGTATCTCATATTTTTTTTATCCTCATATGCAGAACATCTATCAATATAATAGTTTCTGCTTTAATTTGTGGTCTAAGCGATTGGGTTACATTTTGAGTTAAATTTGATTTAACCTTCTTTTCATTTGGTTTTCTTGCCTTTTCTTTTTGCCTCTCCTTGCTAAAAGAACACTACCAATGAAACTGGATTAATATGGGGCATATGAGTGATGCTACCTGAAGCTTGAGTTAGTTTTAATTGAGTTTTGTTAATTTTTTTTTTTAGGTAAAACTTTTTGTGCCACAGGTGTTTGATGAATTTATTGAAAGAAGTTACTTTTCCATTAACTTCTAGATTCTCCCTGATCGAAGCTTGAGTTTTGATAGATCATGGCTATACACTTTGTGGATTCAAAAGTAATATACTCGGTTTGACAGAGAACTTTCAATCCTTATGATCTCTTTATCTAGAGGAGTTAAGATTGGCCCGATAAAACTTTATCTCTTGCAATTTACATTATGTCAAGAACTTTATGTCTCTGCCATAAAATCCAGCCTCCCAAATATTTAAATGTAGCCTATTAGTTTATCTCTCTTTCATATTTTGTTATAATGGTAGTGATAACAACTTTTCGTTTCTCCTATGTTTTCCTATTTATTTAGAATCAAAAAACATAATGCATTTTTCACGCGTTGTGGAAAGAATTTACATTGATTAATTAATTATATGTCGATGACTCTACCACACTGCTTTGTCCTCATCTGGTATTTCAAAATTTAATAACTACTGAAGCAGAATTAGAATTAGAAAATTGTTAGTTTTGTGTTAAACTTAAAAAACGTATCATCACAAACCATCATAATTCATCTGACTTATTTCAGATATGAGTATAAAGACAATCTTTTCATATTATTTCTCCTTTCTCTATCTTCTTTTCAATTTCTGACTTTGAATGCTAAAGCGTTATTCCCACTTCAAATTTTTCTTTGAAATGGTTTTGTACTCAAAAGATGAAAATATTTATTTGCCATTGTCATAGAAGACTCGCTGCTCCTCCTCCATCACTTCAAAGAAGCTATGAATGATCCATCTTGGTACCCTTTCTTCGATCCCTCAACATGTTGTGCTCCACGTATTATGTTTATTTTTATGATGGTAATGCCTAAATCTCTGCACATAATTTATTGGGTGTGCTTACTTTCGAGTTGTAGTTACAAGTCTAGCAGTCAGATATTTTCTAGATAATATGGAGCACATATGGTGTAGAGGAATATAATTAACTATATTGTTGAAATTTAGCTTTAATCGCTCTTGAAATACATTAGGAAAGCCATTGATGTTGCCTATAATTGACCTACTGTAACTTATATTTGCTACATAGATTGCATAATTTTTTATACAATAGCATGTACTATTTACACTTTTGGATTTAAATACTTCATAAAATAGTATTATTCTTAGCTATTACTCCCTCCTTCCCAATTTATGTGGTGTTGTTTGGCTCGAGCATGAAGTTTAAAAACAAAAGACTTTTGAAACTTACTAAAACTAGCTATACATATTTGTGTAGCTGCAAATAATTTCATTAAGGGTAAAATATGAATTTTAAAGTTAAATTATTTCTAAATAAGAAAGTATGACAATCTTTTTGGGGCAGACTAAAAAGAAAAATAGAACGCATAAATTGGAACAGAGGAAGTACGTTTTATTTGTGAATTACAGCACACTGCACTATTTTCATGAGATATTTTTTGTCTGTGAGTTTATGCACTAAGATTGAGTACAAAACAGAAAAAGATTGGTTTAGCATGATTACCGTGGAGTATATTTGGTAACCGTGACATGGTATTTTCTTGGTCATAAATCGTTGCAAATGTTATTTATTTTGGGTTTTCTCTTCTACCCTTTGTTTCTACTTTGTATCTCATGTTTTTTTTATCCTCATATGCAGAACATCTATCAATATAATAGTTTCTGCTTTAATTTGTGGTCTAAGTGATTGGGTTACATTTTGAGTTAAATTTGATTTAACCTTCTTTTCATTTGATTTTCTTGCCTTTTCTTTTTGCCTCTCCTTGCTAAAAGAACACTACCAATAAAACCGAATTTAATATGGGGCATATTAGTGATGCTACCTGAAGCTTGAGTTAGTTTTAATTGAGTTTTTTTAATTTTTTTTTTAGGTAAAACTTTTTGTGCCACAGGTGTTTGATGAATTTATTGAAAGAAGTTACTTTTTCATTAACTTCTAGATTCTCCCTGATCGAAGATTGAGTTTTGATAGATCATGGCTATACACTTTGTGGATTCAAAAGTAATATACACGGTTTGACACAGAACTTTCAATCCTTATGATCTCTCTATCTCGAGGAGTTAAGATTGGCCCCATAAAACTTTATCTCTTGCAATTTATATTATGTCAAGAACTTTATGTCTCTGCCATAAAATCCAGCCTCCCAAATATTTAAATATAGCTTATTAGTTTATCTCTCTTTCATATTTTGTTATAATGGTAGTGATAACAACTTTTCATTTCTCCTATGTTTTCCTATTTATTTAGAATCAAAAAACATAATGCATTTTTCACGCGTTGTGGAAAGAATTTACATTGATTAATTAATTATATGTCGATGACTCTACCACACTGCTTTGTCCTCATATGATATTTTCAAAATTTAATAACTACTGAAGCAGAATTAGAATTAGGAAATTGTTAATTTTGTGTTAAACTTAAAAAACGTATCATCGCAAACCATCATAATTCTTCTGACTTATTTCAGATATGAGTATAAGACAATCTTTTCATATTATATCTCCTTTCTCTATCTTCTTTTCAATTTCTGACTTTGAATGCTAAAGCGTTATTCCCACTTCGAATTTTTCTTTGAAATGGTTTTGTACTCAAAAGATGAAAATATTTATTTGCCATTTTCATGGAAGACTCGTTGCTCCTCCTCCATCACTTCAAAGAGGCTATGAATGATCCATCTTGGTACCCTTTCTTCGATCCCTCAACATGTTGTTCTCCACGTATTATGTTTATTTTTATGATGGTAATGCCTAAATCTCTGCACATAATTTATTGGGTGTGTTTGCTTTCAAGTTGTATTTACAAGTTTAGCGGTCAGATATTTTCTAGATAATATGGAGCACATATGGTGTAGAGGAATATAATTAACTATATTGTTGAAATTTAGCTTTAATCGCTCTTGAAATACATTAGAAAATCCATTGATGTTGCCTATAATTTACCTACTGTAACTTATATTTGCTACATAGATTGCATAATTTTTTATACAATAGCATGTACTATTTACACTTTTGGATTTAAATACTTCATAAAATGGTATTATTCTTAGCTATTACTCCCTACTTCCCAATTTACGTGGTGTTGTTTGGCTCGAGCATGAAGTTTAAAAACAAAAGACTTTTGAAACTTACTAAAACTAGCTATACATATTTGTGTAGCTGCAAATAATTTCATTAAGGGTAAAATATGAATTTTAAAGTTAAATTGTTTCTAAATAAGAAAGTATGACAATCTTTTTGGGGCAGACTAAAAAGAAAAATAGAACGCATAAATTGGAACAGAGGAAGTACGTTTTATTTGTGAATTACAGGACACTGCACTATTTCCATGAGACATTTTTTGTCTGTGAGTTAATGCACTAAGATTGAGTACAAAACAAAAAAAGATTGGTTTAGCATGATTACCGTGGAGTATATTTGGTAACTGTGACATGGTATAACTTTGTTATTTTCTTGTTCATAAATCGTTGCAAATTGGATATGTGTCACAAATTGACATTTATCAGGAAAAAAAATACAACATATTGATGCCAAGAACAAACCAAAAATTTGAGAAAGAAAAACATATTACCAAGACTGGGTGCATTTCAAATATGTGGTGCTCTTACGGATAAAATAACACAAAATAGTCATTGATGTTACTTTGTTTATCAAGCATTCAAATTCCATATTGATTCACTTCTAATCGAAAAGTTCAAGTTTAAGCACTATTTTGAGCTGACTATATGTTGAGGGGCATTTTTGTTTGATTACATCTTATGTAGTATTTTGTAAAACCTATTTTTTTTAATTTGTTAATTTTGTTAAAGACTGATTATTCATCAAAGAGAGTTATAGAAGTCCGATGACTGAGGTATGTATTGGGTCATAAGCAATAACAACTCCATGAACATATCTAGATTAATTAATGTGCGATGTGGCAATAGTATCTTGAAAAAGCTTGTACTCTTGAATAAACAACTATTTGATTTTCGTTAAATATGTGACTTGAGGGACTTCAATTTGGTACTTATAGTGTTATGTGATGAAAAGCAAAGTGGAAAGATGTAGGTTCTTTATCCCCCCTCCCCCCCTTTTGTGATGAGTAAATGAAAAAAGTTTATTGCCATGCAACCACACTAAGATATTGCTAAGATGATATGAAAAAATGCCAGTATCAGTCCATATCTTATTCTTATAGTGGTGGTAGGAATTGTATCAACGCATCTGCTTCATAATGGATATATTCTTTACAAGTAATGGACTTCTAGACATTTGCTAATCATGTGATTTGCTTACTTTTTTCTTTTATTTGAGGGTGAGTAAAATTGTATAGACAAACTTTTCTGGAGATCGTTTGCATTAAATTTTCAACATATTGATAGAGTTGTCAGCATTATCTTATTAAAAAACAAGAATTAGCATTTCTCCGATTTTTTATAATTGTTAACCGGTTATCATAAGGATCAGAGAACCCCATACACTTTTGAGAATGAATTAGATTTACGATACATACTTAGATTGTAATAACCAACGTTTTTGCCTTTAAAGACATTGTTCCATCTTCTCCAAAGGGGCATGACTCAGACACTTGGGTATAGTACTCTAGAATTATTTATTTGCGCTACTTGATTTTTTGTCAATGTTCTCTCTTTCTAGCTTATCTTTATATCATGGTATAATTTCAAATTCTTGGTGGGATTTGTAGTAGTTAATGTTTTTTATTAAAAAATATTTAATATCTTATTCACTTCTAGGAATAGGTGCAAGAAGCTCTCATCATGAAGATCAGGAAGAATACAAGGTAGCGAATGTTTCCAGCAATGAGGAAATCCTTGCAATACTCTATATGGCTCTCAATTGGACTATGTAATTTCTTTGTTCGTAGGATATGTAGCACTAATAGCAACATGATACATTTGATTGATCATGTGGTATATAGAATGATAGGTAGGAGATGAGCAATTAGTCATAAGCTTGGGTTTGATGTAAATGATTTTAAAGGAAAAGCGCAACAAAATGAAATATTTGCTCCATTCTACACACGTCAGGCTCCTGGGGATTTAATATATAGTTTTCTATGTCTCTAGCTATTTATAACAACTTATTCCTGTTTAGAGTTGGAATCACATATAAATATGTGATTATATACTGTCAAGATTATTAAAGTCAAATTATTAGATCCGTATATAATTAATTGTTGGGCCCGTACTATGCACGGGGCAACACTATCTAGTCAAGAAAGATATTACCTACAATCTAGACCTTCGTATCGACCAATAAGCGTATAATGTATATTGTGAATTTGAATATTCTATAGCTCCCATGCATATGAAAACAAAAAGACGAAAGTCAAGGATATAAGAACAAATAAATCAACCCCTTATAAGGCAAATCTATAAAGAAACAACTGATAGGTTATGATTTGGGAATATAGAAAAGATAAAATCGATAAAAAAGAAATGACTAATTTTATTGTTATAAAATAATAACAACACTCAAATTAATTAGTCATATTTAATGTTTTTGTAACGATCTTGCAAAGCACGGGCATATATATTTGCTAGTTATATATATACTGACATGGAATTACCTTCCATTAGGTAAATCATTTTGGTCTCAATAACCTTTTATTAGCACTTATAGCTTTAAAAAAGTGAATATTATTCTATGCGAGGCAATCTAAATAAACATGTTTCAATTAGGATCAGGGGATTGGTAGCACGAACCTTCTTCGTTATGTTAACTTACTCGATTTAGTTAGTGTAGCTCATTAGGAAGAGAGTCAATGGAGGAGAAAACGTTCTTTCTTCTTCCTCTGTTCTTCATAACTTTTTTTCAAGACGACTGATCACCATGTTACTTCTTATCAATAAAGAGACATATCTATATTTAACGAGGAACTTACTACAAACCATGACAGAGATATATTTAAGTCTTTATATAAGAGTAGATTGTTATAGTCACACCTATTTATAGCTGAGTTTTTGTTTCTTTAGAAATTTATTAATTTTTTGAATGGGATTTGGTATTACCAAAAGAACTAAGATCGAAATTAGTGTTTATCACTTTTTAGTTATTTCATCATGTGTGTCACACGTGCATCACTCGTGCACCACATGTGCATTCCCTGCGTCACATGAGCAATTCAATACAATATGATCCACATGTACCGAACTTCTTTTTTTTTGTTTATTGTATTTAAATCTCTTTTTTCACTTTGCTTTTGTTATCGTTAACATCCTAAAGAGATTTATGTAAAATTCTTTCTAAAAGTAGTAAATCTAAGTTATAGTCAACCATACTATTGTGTAAAATCAAATTAAAATCACTTAGTTTATCTTCAAAGTGTTAACTATGTATGTATGTGTTTGAGCAAATAAATGCTAAACCAATTAATAATAAGTTAAAAGGGTGAATCTCATTTGAACTTAATAAGTTCTAGACCAAATAAGACAAAACTCTTGTATAACGAGTAGAGTTCATAAACATTAAATAGTGAGCTTAATACGCTATGATTGACAAAATATGCAATATCATAAGTGTATAATAAATGTAAGAAATGATAAGAGTTATAATAGAAAGGAACTATCACCCGATGATTGTATGATTGGGTGTTCCCTTTCTCTGACGGCGACGTGGAAAAGCAAGAGGTCAAAATGTATATGGGATCTTGAGATCTGTGGATAAAGATTGAGCAACGTGTGCTTGAATAAGACAACCCTTTCGTATATTCTTCTCTCAACTTTTATAATATGTTCTAGTTCCGAAAAAGGCAGATCCCTCTTTGTTCTTTATCTCTTCCTATTTATAAGGGACATTCCCCAAAAACCCTAAAAAGTACAACATAGAGAATATCCAAAGGAATATTCTTTATGTCCATTTCTGAATCTAAGTTAGCGTTACTGTCCTGTCTCAGTTGCCCGCTTCTGGCGTCGACCTTTATGAGGATGACCTTCAGTCGTTATATCGTGGTCGACCCCGTCCTTTGTCTTGCTTATCCGTTACCGTTGTTACCAAATTTGGACCTATACAGTTAGTCCCTCCGCTTGTTGAGGTCGTAGCCCTGCACGTCCTCGATAAGCGGACATCATTCGCTTTTGTCGTGGGAGAATTTGGCTATGAAATCACGCCGGGTCGACCAAGATCGAGAGAACGACGCTACCAGCGGAGTCATGATTGGCTTGGTTACCGTGATGTGACATCACTGCCACGCGCGTCATCATTATGCATATTCCTGAGACAGCATCTGCGCGCTTATTGCTTTGGTTTTAGTGCCATTGACAATCTTCGCTTTGATTCTCGTGCCATCCAGCCCTATAAGTAGATGAGGGTTTCATTTCTTTAGAAGTTTCCGCCATTTCTCTCCTTGCATGTACATCATCTTCCTCCGATCTTTTTCATCAGTTCTTGTTATGAGCTTTGTTTCTGCGATTCCGTTTCTCGCCTGCTTGTTTAGTCATCACCTCTTTCTTTAGGTTTAGTAGCAAACCTTTTGTTGTCGAGATGTCTCGAACCCTTCGCTTACATAACGAAGTTCCCGACGCCACTCCGTTGTCGGTGGCCCCTCCTTCCGGTGGTGACGATTTCGTGGCTGAGGAGGGTGAGAGTTTTCCTACCGTAGAAGAGATACTTCCCAGAAACCCCCTATCCAGAAATGATTTTCACAGGGAGCTCGCTTCTTCTCCCGTTCCGGTGATCTCCAAAACCGGGCCATCTCATATAGATGAACTTCGATCCACATACCATATTCCTTCTCACGTCGAGATGGTTCCAGCTGGGGGCGACATCGTGGAGGTCCATAGACCTGGGTACTGTGCTTTTTATGTTTATCCTTTCGTAATTGGTTATACTCTCCCTCTTCTTCCGCTGGCGGAGGAGTTCTGTCGGTTTTACAACGTCTGCCCGGCACAGTTGTCTCCGTATTTGTATAAAGCTTTTCTGATGTTGACAAAGTACGCGGAGTTGGCTGGTTGTGAGGTCGACATCCGCCACCTATTACATTTGTTTTCACCAAGATTTCACAGGGGCACCATGATACAGCTGCGGCATCGCAGGACCAGGGGCCTGATAGTTAGAATGGACGACAGGGCGAGCCGGGAAGTTTTGACACAAGCACTTTTTTATCAAAACGGAGCACTTGGTGTCGGACCCTGCTGGATTTCCTGAGCAGTGGAATCATAATCATAGGTGTCGATGACATACGCTTGTTGTCTTTTTTCATACTTTATGATCTTTATTTATCAGTGATTGCTGAGAGGCGTGCACCCTTTCCCGTCGTTGGTATTGAGGACTGGGTGGCTCGCGTGTTACCTCACATGGTGGGGATCCGAGATTGGGCGGTTTTCTACAAACGCTTTTTACCGAATGTTCCGTCTAGTAAGTGTTACTTTTGCTTCGATCTTCAGCTGCCTGTCGTCATTTATTGATACGACCTCTTTGTGGTGACAGGTCAACGGATTTCTAAAAAGAAAGCTCCAATGACGGCATTTCGCCAGGCCATTGCATCAGCGGGGATGCAATTTACTTTGGCTGAGTCCGCCCCTGGAGGTCGTACTCGAACTCTGTCAGCAAGAGTCCCCTCTCCTTGGGATTTCGCTATACGGGACGAGATCTCTTCCCAGCCTGTCTACCACGTCGTAGACGAGTCCTCTAACGGGGAGGAGTCGCCGTCGAGGAAGAGGAGGAGGGTGGAGCTTGGGAAAGCCTTCGCCACCAGCGTTGAAAAGAAGAAGGTCGTTGGTTCGAGAGTGGCGTCCTCACCTATGTCAGACGCAGGGGCCGTTTTTATGGAGGATGCTATCACGGCGAGGAGGTCCCTCAGGGCCGAGGGGACCTACCAAGGCGGGGAACCTGTGCGGACTGCTCAAGGTGGCGCGTTGTCGGCTGCCAGAGGGGATGGAGCGGTGGTCTCAGAGGACAATGGTTCATGTTCGGACGTCGATCCCGAAGAGGTGCGGGCCTTTTTGGAGAGAAACACCCGCGTGGAGGTGAGGACGGAGGGTCCTAACCGACACGTAATCATTCCTGTAGGTTACGATCTTTTGGCGAATTCTGAGCAGGCAGCGTCGGCCTTCGCCCCCTTGTGCGCCGCTTCTGAGAACGCGGCGCTTCAGGCGATGACGCGAAGTATTTCTGACATGGCTTTGCGAGTAAGTATTTCTTTTCCTTTAGGAATTGTTTTGCATGCGTAACCTACTTATGCTGACTTTCTTTCCTTTGCATGTCAGACTCTCATTATGGAGATCGAGCGCGACCAGAGGGATAAACGAAGGACGATCGTTTTTTAAGAAAGTGGCCTCCAAGTACAAGGAGTATCGCACCAAGCATCGTGCATTGGCCGATGTCTTCACTCAAGATAGCAATTTTTAGCTGTTTCGTGACGGGCTTAAGTAGAAAGAGGAAGAGTTGGCGCAGAAAGTCGAAAAGCTGAAGAGCGAGATGATGAGCTGATGAAGGCCATAGGTCGATGCAGTGACTCGAGGCGGCTCTTAAGGCCAAGGATGATGAGCTCGAGGTAAGCAAGGGGGTGATAGCAGAGAACGCCGATCTTCAGGTGCGGGTGGCCACCTTAACTGCTGAGCTTGGGCGAAGGGAAGCGGAGGTGATCTGAGGGGTGAGTTGAGCGTTAAGGCTTATGAACTGGCTCGTGCCGAAAAGGGCAGGATGACCGCCGTATTTGAAGTAGCAGCCCTGGATGATGCCCTCCGTGTTTGTAGGTCAGAGCGGGGTAATGAGGTGGAGACATCGGCGCTCAAGGTAGCGAGGATAGTAGAGCGGATCCAAGATCTGGAGGCGGCGTTGTCCGGATTGAACGAACAGTTTGTTCTTTGAAGGCAGAGGAAGAACGACGGTAGTCACAGCCATCCACGTCTCATACTTCTATTGATCCCGTCGTGCCGCGGGAGTTGTATGAGATGTGGGTTCATGTCGAGGCTCAGCTTGATGTGTACAAGTCTCTGAAGGCTAACGGGAAGGTTTCTGAGGCAGAACTCGAGGGTGTTTGTGTCAAAGCACATGCAGCCCTTGAAGCCTGTGTCTATGA